TTGAAATAAACTCGGCCATTTCCTCATCATCGTCATCTTTGTCGTCACCATCGTCATCAATAGAATTAGGAACTTTATCGTTGTTGTTCTCTTTGGCATTCTGATTCTCTTTCTGGGTTTGTTGTTCTGCTTCGTCTGGCAAAAAGTTTGAAATAAAGTCGGCCATTTCCTCATCATCGTCATCGTTGTCTTCACCATCGTCAGCAATGGAATTAGGAACTTTATCCTTGTTGTTCTCTTTGATATTCTGGTTCTCTTTCTGGTTTTGTTGTTCTACTTCGTCTGGCAAAAAATTTGAAATGAACTCGGCCATTTCCTCATCGTCGTCATCGTTGTTGCCATTGTCATTAGTAACATTTGGGACGTTGCTGTCGTTGTTCTCTTTCTGGTTTTGTTCTTCTGCTTCGTCTGGCAAAAARTTTGAAATAAACTCGGCCATTTCATCATCGTCATCGTCACTGGTGGCCTTTGCTGTGTCATTGTCCTCGTTCTTGTCTTCGATGTTCCGATTTTCTTTCTGGTTTTGTTCTTCTGCTTCGTCTGGCAAAAWGTTGGAGATAAAAGCTTTCATTTCGTCGTCGTCGTTGCTATTGTCGTCGTCGCTGCCGCTATCGCCCATTGAACGGTCGCGGCGATCGTCGCTCCGATCCCCGGAAGCAGCAGTCGGGGCATCGTCCTGCGACGAGGACGAGGACGAAGACGAAGAGGAGAACGACTCCGCGGCATTCTCGCCGCTGTCCGCCGCTGTCCTTTCCGCCCGCTCCCTCATGATTCCAACGTCCCGGTTCCACGAGGGCTCGTCGTAGCTACCGAGCAACCAGAGCGCGTGGCGCTGCCCCGGGGCGAGCTCGCTCCAGGGCGTGACAAAGAAGGCAAGGTCCTGGTCCTCCTCGTTCCAGGAGGTTTCCGTGTACCCCAGCACGGAACAGTGCTTCCGCACCCGGTCCGGGAGGTCCTTCCACTCGAGGTCGGAATCGAGGATCCAGTTGTAGGGCACGTCGTCGGCAGCGGGCGGGGGGGATTCCGGGGGCGGCGGTGGCGGTGGTTCCTTCTTGGCGTGCGGTCCCCCGCCGGAGGTCAAAAAGGCAAGAATCTCGTCTGGTGGCAGCTCCATGATTTCGTCGAGGCGGTTCTGCACCACCTCGGCTTTTTGGTAGAGAATGCGTTCCTCGATTTGCTTGGCAATGGTGCTCGGGGAAGCCGTTCGTCCCGCGTCGGTTCTTGGGTTTTCCGTTGCAATTGCGGTTGCGGTTGCGCTTGCCATTGCGTTTGGCGGCCCGGGCTTGGTCCCCAGCAGCCCATCGGTGTCGCGTTCGTCCGTGGGACAATCGGGAATGGTTGTCGCAAAAGATTCCCCGTCGTTCTCGTCGGTGGGGATGGGGAAGGGTAGCTCCTCCTCCTCTTCATCGTCGTCGTTGTCGCACACCAGCAGTTCCACCAGTTTGACTTTTACCGCCTCCCGTACCCTGGCGGTCATGACCGAGTTCATGTGGAGCTCGGACCTGGAAAACCACAGGTTTTGCTTGTCGGTGGGATCGATGCGGGGGATTTCCTTCGTGGTGTTTTGTTCCTCGCAGAAGGAAACGGCGTGTGGCGTTTCATTCGGAGGTGCCGAACCATCGTTCTTGTCCTTGTCACCGCCGGCTGCTGCGGGGGGTGTTCCGGTTGTTTCGCCAAGAACCATGCTCATGGGTATGGTGTTGAATGGAATAGGCGCAAAGCCAAAAGAGAGAGAACGGTCTTTCAGAATGGAGGGTTCGATCGAAACCAAAAAATGATTTGATCGTGTTCTGTTGACRAAGCCCTTTTTGTTCCCAATTGCCGTTGTTGTAAGTACAGAAAACGTTTTTACAGTACTTTACTCGTACTTGTACTCGTAGTCGTACGTCTGTAAAGTGGTCTACTGTAGTTTTGGATTGAAAAGGATGGGATCTCTCCATCCAGGTGTCAGAATGCCCGCTTTGAGGTCATAGCTTATGGAATGAGTCCCAAGAGGTCATAATCGCTACCTACGGTACGCTATGTAGGTATCAGTCATATCTATAGTTCGTATGTTTTGCAATCCATCCCTAACCCAGGAAGCATGCATGGAACAAAACTATCGGTAATACCGGTACGGAAAAGAACTGAGGCAACAGAGATAGTAGCAGTAGCATTAACAACATTTTTATTCTGTACGGTCGAYGGGATCCATTTTGTTCCAGTATCCCACTAGAAATATTGCTTTCACCGTATGGAATGGATTCCTCTTCTACTACTAGCAGCTACTAGCTCGTGTTACTCGTGTGATGCAGTGTGTCACAACTACTACAGCATCGCGGTGTGCCAAACAGCACAGTTAGATAGTCCGCCAGCAGCTCGTCCCAATTGTATCATCGGTCACAAACAGTACTTGTCCTGTTGGTATTCGACTTGGAAACGACATCGGATGCATACCAGCACAGCGCCCACACAAGAGCTACAGTCCCTTGTTGTACCGAAAGACTGTCACCGGATTTCCCTGCGCGTCCTTGAGGTGTCGGAACCTGTCCTCCAGGTTCGATGCCTCGACCGTTCCGATCTGAGGGAAGAGTGCAATGGTCGCCGGCAATCCAAAGCCGAAGAACAAAAAGATAAAGCTCGAATTGAATGGGAGAGTCAGCAGGCGTCGGTTCTTTCGAATGATCGGGTCCGCCAGGGACATGGCGACGGGCGTCATTAAAAACACCGRCAGGGGCAAGACCATTCTCGAGATCATCATCTCCGACAAGGCCTTTTTGGCAGCGAGTTGAGAGGTTCCGACCACCACGGGAACTTCGCTGTCTTCATCTACAGCATCGCCGCTGCGGTTTCCCCCCGGGGTGGCATCCAACTTTTCCTGTTCGTAGTACACCTCGATCCCGGTGGTAAGCTCGTTTTGTCTCATCAGAAAAACATTGATGGCCCCGGCGGYAATAATGGCAGGCAGCGCCACAAACCGCTGAACCGTGGCTTTTTGGAGCGCGGTCAAACGAGTGGAGCGGTCGATCACCGACTTGAGTCCCATCGACAATCCGATGGAAGTCGTGACGGCTCCGAGATACCCCTGGGCAACAGCCGACRTGTTTAGTGGCTGTGTTGCGTTGCGGTTGAAAAAGTTCACCAGAGCGTTCTGGGTTTGGTTCATCCAATGAAAGAAGAATATGGCGGGTGTCGAAGTCGCCATGATGGCACCGACGCACACGGGCGCATTGAAAGGCTGCATATGTGTGGTCGTCAAAGGGCAAGTTGATTGTGCGGAACCAGCAGTGAGTTTTTGTGCGTTTGTGTGTGCGTGCATAATGAGTGAGTATTGCTGTTGTACGGTACTTGCAACTTTTTGCTGTCAATAGTACATCATATATATGCGATGAAAGCCATTAATCACAACAGTGATCGTACCGTAACATCTCGCTAATTCCTGAGACAGTGTGGGAGAAAWGTATGRAACTTACAACATATCCAGACATTCGAAAGGGACGGGGAATAATTTCTCCCGTGTCTGGATGAATGATGGCATCCTTGATTTTTTTGGCCTGCCACAATTTTTCATTGTCGAATCCGTTGTGGTAAGTGCTAATGTTGCCACTATCGAGCTTACCACTCTCGGTTCTGTCTTCAAAGTCCTTTAAGAGTTGGACCGCATCGTCGAGCTCTTGCTGCGAACACAACAGTGTTCTTGGGTCAACAACGTCCAGCATTTTTCGGAAGCGTCCGTAATAGGTTGACTGATCGTATCGATCGGCCTTCAGGGAAAAGGGTGGCACGGAATCATCGTTGCTGCTCTGATCCAACGAATCGATTGCGGAAATTGAGATTGCCGTCGCAGTGGGACTTGTACTCGAGCTCGTATCGGGAGGTGTCATGGTATGGTATTCGGTAACAATTCAAATGAAGAGTACGAGAAAAAAGTATTCAAATCTTCCGGGAGGATTCAAACAAAAATTGGAGTGCGAAGTGCAAGTGTAGAATCTCGTACCGCACGGTACTAATATTATGATAAAAATGATTCCGTATTGTTGTTCGAAGTGAATTGTTTCGAACTGATTCTCAGCTGAATCTTGTTGTTTTAACCGTTAGGGGGGACTAGACGTACTAGTTGTACGAGCAGGTAGTACWGTAGCCCAGAATTCCGGTTACATCCGATGCGATGGCAAAAAAATCTGTTACTCTACCGTACGTACTCCCAACACCCAATTCGGGATGGCAAGAGTGCAATATGATATATGATATATGATACGTACTTTAATATGGTAGATAGCAGACGTACCCTATTTGTTTCGGGATTCCGGATTCGGGTTCCTTCTGTGTTCTATGACCACGGTCATTTGAAAAGTCTCAACCTGTCATTACTCATTAGAGTAAGAATAGAGTAAGAAGGGAAAACGATCTTTCTCTCATCCAAGCGAAGAACARAAGACGAGTCATACCGGTACAGAACGTACCGGTAGACACTCTAGGAGTGTTGACTGATGATGGACTGAGAGACAAAAACTACAACAATACCTTTCATAGCGAAGGAGCCATACATTAACATATTCTAAGGAAGTAACTTRATATTTAAAAAGCAAAAGTTATCACAATGGACGAACAGGCCGTCATCAACGCATTCAAGGTATTCGACGCCGACGAAACAGGAAAGGTAATTTCGGAAGAAATCGTCGAAGCCCTAACCACTTACGGCGAGATGAGTACCGACGAAGCCGAGAAGATGATCAAAGATGCCGGGGGAAAGAGCAGTTTCGATTACACTAAGTTCGTCAAGGAAATGAATGCCAAGGCAAAAGGATAATCCTTGGCACGATGTAAGGATGACGGACGATTGCACAGATATGAATGGGTCGCTCTCGAACTATGTATGGGATGGAACGGAACGGAAAAACAATCATTCCCGATTGATTCTAGTACCGATACATCACAAGCAAAACGCCGTGGCATCGAGTTGATTCAAATTTTCTACGCACGAAGACGAACATAGGATGGATTGATGGAACTTCATAATGGAAAAACTGCCATGGGAATTTGTTCCAAAAAATGCATTTTGCGTTCGCCGTCGCCGTCACCGTCACCGTTTATGCACGTGAAAGTGCAATAAAGTACGCACAAAGGAACACTGTAAAGCTGTTACTAGTATTCAACAACATTCACATTTCTACGCATTTCAAAGCGATTCCGTGCATTTTTTGTGAAGGATGGCATCGCAAGTTTTCATCCTTCGGATATGATTGTTCGCTAGCGCATAAAAGAGTTTGTGGACCATTGCTACTACGTGTTTCTACTCCAATTCACCCGTTCCCTCCGCAGGATTGATCCGCGATCAATTGAGCTTGGCCTGGCCCTTTTTTTGCCATTTCCAATAGGGCACGAACCGCGCCGCCAATCGCTGCAAGCACAGCGACTTGACGACGATGCACTGGGGTTCCAGKGCGTACTGGATGGATTTGACCAGGGCAATCGTGTCGAGCAACCCGTCGGCCCCCGAGAGCCCCCCTACGTCGACGTACACGGCATCAAAGCCGATGGTCCGCTGGTCGCTGGGCACGCTGCGTTCCTCGTAGTATTCTTGYTGCAGCCGCAGCAAGCCCGCCGTCTTCCAGGCATCGCCCGTGCGAAAAAAGACGCCCGGGTGCTTTCGCTGGGCCTCCCGAATGATCTTGCTTCCAACGTCGACGCCCATGACATGGTCGAAGGTTTCGTCGAGCAAGACGGTCGAGGTTCCAAAGTGGCAGCCGACCTCCAGCACAAAATTCTTGCTTGTTTCGTTGTCCCCGTCCTTCTCCTCCGCCGCCTTGAGATGGGATTGCTGCAACAGGGTCTGGACGCCCGGAATCGTTTGCCGGTAGTCGTGAACCCCCACCGTGGCCACGATTCGGCACAACCGGTTGTGGTTGGTCTTGTTGGGATCCAGCCAGGGGACGGTATAGGTAAGCTGGGAGGCGACCGAATTGAGCCCCAGAGACTTCACCAACACGTACTTTAGACCGTGGTAATCCCCGTCCTCGTACTCGTCCTCGCCGTCGTCCTCCGAGTTGCTGCGGCTGCCCTTGGCCACCATGGCTGCCATTTGCTCGAATTCCAGAATCAGATCGAGGCAGGTCCACTCGAGATCGTTCCCCACAATCGCGTTCACGTCCAAGACCAAGACATCGTAGCGGCACGACGAGGAAGACGACGAATCCCTGTCCCGAAAAAAGGCGGACCTCCAGTCGGAGAACTTCTCGATTTCGCGAAAGTCCATSCCGGAACCCGCGCCCGCACTCCCGGTCGGGCTGTCTTCCAGCCGCATGGCGTTGATCCGGGTGGTCTCGTTTGGCGACAGGGGTTCTTTCCTTGCGCTCGACCGGACCGCTACCTTGGGGTAGTCCCGCTTCACGTCGCAAAAGACCGAGGAGGGAGACCCCCTCTCCCRGATCGCGTCGGAAACGTCCCGCAGCTGCGACCCGAGTTCCGCCACGACGTCGTCCTCTCCGACGATGGAGTTGACGGCGTGGACGAGTTCCTTGGTGGACGAGCAGCAGACGATCTGGGGCGGCCTGCGGTTGCGCTGGTCCCTGAGTCGCTTCCGGAGCTTCTTTTCGTTTTGGTCCACCACCGTCGAGGAGTCTTTGGTGTTCGCGGAAGCCGTCGCTGGTTCTCCGGTGCTGCCGGAGGCGAACAATCGGGACGCCGACGACCTGTAGCGGAAGTTGGTTCCCCTTTGTTCTGTTCCGAGAACCGCTGGATTCCAGGCGCGAACCCGCGACGCCCACAAGGCAGCCAGAACGATTGCCAAGCTGGGCACAGACCGAGCAATCGATCGAATGCCAATCGTCGATGCATTGGTTCTCGTTGTTCTGCACAACGAGGAACCGACCCTGCCAGGACGGCGATGTGCATATTGGTTCTCCATGGTMCTGCTGGCAATGGTTTCCCGGAACGAACSMACGCGAGWATCCGTTGSTGTTTGGTTGGTCCTTCGTTTTTCCTTGGGTCTTCCTCCCTGGTATCTCGGRTGTGATCGTTGCGCTTTGCTCTTCTCGGGAAGAGAATGAGCGAAATCAGAGAAAATGGGAAACGCGACGGCCCATCAYCAAAATACGAGGTTGATACCGTACGTACTCTAGATTCTAGAGAAAAAGTGGTAAAAGTACGTACCGTACTTCGTACGTACCAGTAATTTTTGATGGCCTCGGACCTTGGATGGAGACAAGTGATGTACTCCTAGGTTAAGTAGATATTATTCATATGTTTCGTGTACCCGGGTGGGGCCTTCGGTTGTCCCTCCCAAGGGGTCACCCATGCGTGCGAAGCGAACTGCGAACCCACAGCGGTTACATAAAATATTATYGTGACATGAATTATCTAGACCACGTTTGTGACCCCCGCCCCGCCCCGTCCCGCACGATACACGTACCAGTACTACGGACGCTAGTTCAGTACCTACGCTTCTACGATAGTGAAGTTTTCAAAAACGTCCGMTCGGCAGTGCCAGCGTTTGGCGAGCTCGCCACTTCTTTCGTGCAGCGCACCTTGCTACTCCTAACCTTAGGAGCAGTCGTGCACGTGTGAAAATACGAGTTTCTCGTACGGCGCTACGTACCGTGCTGTACAGAAGTACTCGTACTTTCCATGAATCGAATCGGTGCTTTATGTTTTAGCTAGCCGCATCGACGCAACTCAACCGCTCGTACATAGCCCACGGGTGCAAAAACGCAACGACCGACGGTGTCGTTACTTAGGAAGTTTGCCGGCAGAGATTTCTTCGGTTCTTCCGTGTTTCCCGTCAGCGCGGCATACGATTGGTGCAGACAGCAAGCAACGCAACAAGGGAACGAAGAATCGGAGCCCACAGCCGAAGTGCGATACACGTAACAACAGGTACAGTACTGTGACACACGCAAGAAGACCCTTTCTTCCAAAACAAAGAATTACTCCTCTATTGCTTTCGCCGCAAGACTGCACAAGTGGTTGTCATAGAAGAACACTCTGGCAAACCAATCGACAATACACTCGGCAACAAAGCAGAAACACGAGCAGATCGTTCGTTTTGTCTTCCCTTTTCAGAGCACCCCAATCGCAAAAGTTCCGTGCTCGAAGCGTACTCGCACTCCCCACCCACAACACCTAGTTTCCACACAGYACCAAAAACAGAATGTCCGGTGCCGCCGCAAGAGGCCCCCTGGCCTTTCTGCTCCAATCCCAATCGGGGCAGTGGCTGACCATCTCCCTGGGAGCCATGTACGCCTTTCCGGAACAAGCCAAGATGGTCCTTGGCGATCTTGGGTCCTACGCGCTTATGGCCAAGCAAATGTCCGGCTTTCCCGTTCCCTCCCTCGAGGACAGSAAGGCGATTGCCGCACCCGCTCCGCCGCAACAAATCGTCATCCACCAAACCCTTCCCTCMGTGGACGGGAAGAACCAGTACGTCGGCTTGCTGGTCAAGGTCGTCGTCGGAGGTACGGCCTGCTGGGTCGGTTACTTTGCCCTGACGAACGCCCTGCCGGAATACGTCCAGGAATTCTTCCCCGTCACCCGCAAGTTCTTTGCCAAGACCTCCAAGTTCTTGGTGGCTTCCCTCGAAAAGGTTAAAGAGACCCTCGAGGAACAGATCGGACTCGTTTCGAAGAAGCAGGACGATTTGTCGAAGAAACTGGACGGAACCCACGACGCGGTCCAGGGACTCCACAAGGAACTGGGAGACGCACGGGACGACATGGAACGTCTGGGAGAGTCCATGTCCCGGCAGGAGTCGACGCTCAACGCATCCCACAAAACCATGAGCTACACCTCGAAGGGCGTCACGCTGCTGGTGAGGTGTGTGGCCTCGATGCTCCCCAGCAACGACCGGACCGTTCACGACCTGGCCGAGTACATCCAGGACGGGGAAACCATCAAGAGGCAGGAGGAGAAGGAGCAGCGAGAGCGACGCCTCGCGGGGGTGAGCGTCCGCAAGACACCCTTCTCGTCGATCGCCTCCCCCCCGCCGAAGGTGGAGGCCCCGAACCTGATGATCCGCCAGTCGCGCGCGGACTCGGACCTGGACTCCCTCGACGACGTCCAYGCCGTGCTCGGAATCCGACCGGGAAACAATCTTTTGTCCGTCAACTAACCGTGAACGGAAGGGCMTCGTCCGGTGGTTGGCTCCGCGCCGACCACGGCAACGATTCCGCCCGTGTTTTGTACAATACCGTCTTTCGATTGTGTGAAAGAATAAGGDAAAACCGACTAGAATAATAATAACAATAACAACAACAGCAATAATATTATGAATGCAATTAATAAATGAAAATTTACAGAAGGAAACAACGTTAAGCAATTGATTTGTACGCCTKGTGGTTGCGTTTTGTAATCGTGCGCCGTTCCTCGAATGGCGTTGTGTGCTGTAGGGGTTGTGCATTTCTGATCATTGCTAGGTAGATACTGTCGCTGTTCACCACTCCAAAGTCGAGGTCGTACAACAAATTTCTGCCCTCAATCGTGTGGTGAGAGATGTTTTGACAGTGTTGTTCCAGGGTTGTACCTTTGGGTACTGTTGACCTAGTAGTGAACTCAGTAGGGTGCCATCACTATAACAAGGTTGGGTGTTGGGCATCGACATTAGGATTGATTTTCCTTTGTTTCTTGTTCTTTGGTAGGAAATCCTCCTTGTTCTTGCCAGTGTTCTTGTCCTCCAAATTACTAGGAGTGTTGTCATCCTTTTCAGTGGCGCCTTCTTGGATTTCCTCCAGTTCCTTTGAAACAGAGGAGGCATTCAAGACATTACTAACCTTTGTGTTGATTCCGAGGGGGCATGGGCAGTTATAATGCCTGCATTTTATTTTTGTAGTAGCAGAAGTAAAGTACCCATTGAGGTTGTCATGCTAATCCATGTTACTCATGAAAAATGTGACTGCAAATTTSATTCTCATGTTCCAATGTTTCTTGCCATTCCATGAACAATTGTGGTGCCACCACCAAACATCGTCGTTCTTCCATGATTCCCATGCTGCTTCTCTGAAGGAGGCAAACACTGCCCACAAGCCATTGTGAGGGTTATTGACATTCTTGTCTAGTACTGACTGATTGCTTTTTCTTTGGGGTTGMAAGTATATTGCCTATCATGTGTCAGGTCTGGTAGACCACATAAAATTGCTGAATATCCCGAGAGTCCTGTTCAGAGGACTGCTACGGTAGTACCCATGATGAATTTTTTTGAGTCCAGTCACGGCGATTGACGAATGTGGAAAATTTGAACCCAAAAGCGTTTCCCGCCGCGTGTAAGTCGTAAAAATACGTACGGTACTAATTGCCCAGTTCACAAGCAGTAAATGCGTAGAAGATGTTATCACGTTCTTTTTGTTCTTGATTGACATTGGTTTTTTCTTTCAGGTTTTGCTTCCGTTCTCACGCAGCCTTCTTGAAGTTGATGTTCTGTTTGCTCTCGCCCTCATGCTAGCTACTATTTCTTATTATTCGTCTCTGCGGTATTTTATTCCCTCTCGAAGTACTACTACCGATGTTGGAAGCAAATCGTAGAAAGATGGAAGCAACAAGGACTGCGTTCAGCAACAAGAACAAGGAAAGGACAACGAGGTCGTTGACGGCAGCTGGGAGGATGCCTTCCGTCGCCCTCCTGGCATCGGTGGTGTTGCAGTTGTTGTCGATCCACAACCGTGTTTCTTGCGTACTAKCGTTCGCAACATCCCCGACACCGAGGACGGCGACGCAGCATCGGAATTTGGCGGTGAACGGTGCGTCGGCATCGACCGTAGACGCTACCGCAAAAGACACGGAGGCAACGACAGAGGCATTGTTCGATGAATTCGCGTCCTTTTTGCAAACCAAACAAAGCGAGATCATCGACCAAATCGAGCAGCTCGAAAAGGATGTCGCAGCGAGTGAGGGTGGCAACGAAGCACAGCAATTTTCGAGGGACTGCTGGGGAATTTTCGAAAACGAGGACAGCAACGGCAACGTCAGCGGCAGCGGTGGCATCACCCGTGTCATTCAAAGGGGCAGCATCATCGAAAAGGGTGCTTGCTCCTTCACCCTGCTGAAAAATGGGAAACTGACGGCGGAACGGGCCGCATCGGTTCGGGGGCGCCAGRGTCCCGAAAACAACGACGGCATTAACATCCAGGAAGGCGACAACTATTGTGCCGCTGCCTTGTCCATGGTCTTGCACACACGATCRCCCATGGTGCCCACCTTTCGATCGGACGTGCGAATCTTTTTGGTGGAATCCTCGTCCAGCGAAAGCGACGAGAAAAAGGCGGTGGCTTGGTTTGGTGGCGGCAGCGATCTGACGCCGTACTATTTGTTCGACGAAGATATTTCGTTCTTCCACCAGCGGTTGAAGGAGTTGTGCGAAACACACTCGGACGGCGACGCCATGATCGAYTATCCCACGATGAAGCAAGCGTGCGACGACTACTTTTTCTTGCCTGCTAGGAGCGAACACCGTGGCGTCGGTGGTATGTTTTACGACGATCTGCCGGCCRCTCCTTCCACCCTTTCCTTCTCCAAGGACGTTGCCTCGAACTGGATGTCCTCGTGGTTTCCCATCGTGCAAAAAAGGCAGTCCCTTCCGTAYACGGAACAACAACGCGAGTGGCAACTGCTCCGCCGGGGCCGGTACCTCGAATTCAATCTGCTGTACGACCGGGGYGTCAAGTTTGGCCTAGCCAACGCCAACCCGCGTGTCGAGGGCGTCATGGTATCGGCGCCACCGCTCATTGCATGGGAATAYAACCATTCCATCGAGCCGGGCAGCGAAGAAGACCGATTGATGGGAATATTGAAAAGTCCGAAGGAGTGGGTGTAATCAGGTACTTGTAACGACTACGAAGGCATTAATAAAACTAGAATTAGAGCCAAGCCATCAATCATAGTAGAACGCCTATTGCTCATTGAGCAAAGTTAACACTTGGTACTGCCTGCGGTACAAGTAGTTCTTCTCTGGAGATCCCCGTATTCAACGACAAAGCACTTTTCATCTTTCAATGTATTCATACAGTAGTACTCAAAAGAATAGGGTAGTTCCATAATGCAGTGYACTGGTATGCAATACGTATTGTGTGGTACCGCTTGTTTCGTTACTTGTAAGAAGTGATTCTGTACCGTAGTTTGTGATCTATCAGCTGAAGGAAGCTAGCTCAGGCATCATGGTACGATAGTACAAGTACGAATCTAAGTTACGGTAATAGATTAGTACGAGTACACATTCCTACATACCGTACAGCATACCACGACCAAGCCTTCAATTTGAGGCGTACCGTACGTAYTCGTACCATGTACGACCAAGAATAAAAAAGTTCTATCTTTCAAGTTGTAGGATCGGAGTTGGGAGAAAGATTGAATCAAAAATCAAACCCTAGCCCAACCCGGCATCWTTTATCTTTTCCTWCCTTTTAGAAGGCTACCCAAAAACTGCAAGCTGTGGTATAACCAACTCATCACAGGGGTAAACGTAGCAAAGATCGGATATCGCGGCCACAATTTCCACAAAGTATGCCTCCAAAACCATGTGTGGCGCTATCTTTTTACCCAACGTAGGGCCACGCAATCAAGATAGGAGTGATATCATCCAGAACCATGACCACATGGTTTTGAGCTATTTTACTGCGGTAGATTCGAAGCTTACGGTACTTTTGTAATTTGATACGATTTCGAAACGGGTGTAAAGAAAGAGTACGCACCATCCAAAGCCCGGTTGTAGTTTTCGAAAGGCCAGCCAGAAGGCATGGTATCTAGCTAGCAAACCCGAGGATAAAAGACCTGCTGAAACGTATAAGGTGTGAATGTTCTTGCTGCTTGGCCGTTGTGGTGGAGACTACCACACAAGACGGTCAACTAGAGGGCACAAAAACAGCCACAGTGGCAGCCATTTGCACGCCTTTCCCGACCAATGTCATTTCTCAAACTTTAATACTGAGCTCGATGAACTGGGTGTTCCATCTGCAACGGATTTTACAACAAAGCAGAAGGGAATTGATTGTTGTCCCGCTGAATGCGACCGAGACGGATGTAGAAGAGTGAATTCATACCCGCAAAGTAAATGGGTTGTTGCGTGCAGCAATGATCGTCAACTCGGCGGCTGCGGACCGCATCCGGCCGCCAGCAGGGAGGCCACCAAGATGAGAGCCCCCCCGACCAGTTCGGGTTGCGAAGGGGTTTCTCCGAGGATCAGTAGCCCCAGCAGAGTCGTAAACACGGGTTCCATAGAGAGGATGACGTTCGTTTCGGCCGCCGGAACGGAAGCCTGTGCCGTTTGCTGGCAGACGTCGGCAATCGTGCACGGACCTAGAGCCGTGTAAATGAGTATCCCCCACGCCACCGAATCGRTCTTCCAATCCTTCCACAATGACCACGACGAAAAGTGGGCATCGWAGCTGCTACTGTCGTCCGCTGTATCCTCAGAAGCATTGTGATACCATACGGAAGCCACCATCCATATTGAGTAAAGGATTGCCAGAAACACATTCTTGACGAATTGGGTTGTGGTTTCGTCAAAGGAGTCTCCAAGGGCACTCAATCGGCAAATGTACAAACTCCAGCAGAGGGCGGCAAGCAAACAGCAAAGATCGCCCCAGGCAGGTGAAAGCGGCGATAACGACAACGAGGAATTGCCATTTRCACGAGCCGCGGAGGCGTCGTTTCTTTCCGCGGCAAGCGCAACAGGTTCGTCGCCGCTTCYGTTTTCGCCCTKAGAAATGACCCATGYGCCCAAGAGTGCCAGGACACAGGCCCCCCAAACGATAGCCCGGCGTCCCCGCTGGGATTGCGGAGGGTGGGTTGTGTTTTTGTGATCTCGACACGCTAGGGTCATCACCGACGAGACGATGGGGGTCCACACCACACTTGTCGACACCAAAAATGAGGCCCTGGCGCCCCGCGTTACTAGAAGGCTGGTGTTGATCAGGGCYTGGGTGCCGAAATTCCAAAGGGCAAGTTCTAGGGCAAACCAAACGAGTCGGGCTTGGTATTGGTTTTGCKTTTGTCGCTGTTTTGATCGATCCAGTTCCTGATCATTGGCTCCATTGATCGGAKCGTAAAAAAYATTTGAGTCGCTCGATCCAAAAAGGATCGTTCGGCAGGTTTGGCAATGGCGTTGTTTTGGGAGGGTTCCGGCGCGATGGTTYTGGTTCTTCGCGTTCCTGGCGTTTTTCCACCAAAGAAGCGGGAGGAAGCCTAGGACTGAAAACCATCCCTGGATGGTTGAGGAAGCACTCGGGGTCGGTGGGTTTGGACGGGCAAAGACCATCCGCATGCTCACGTTGAGAGATCCGTATACCACCCCCAGTACGAACAGAAGCAATCGGCCCCAGAGCCATCCTAGTGATTTGTGCGGCGCAGTTTCCGGCGCTATACTTGCCGCGTCCCTTGARTCGTCGCTCGATCCTACTTTTTCAAACGCGGTCACTTTGGTGATCGTTTCCACAGAGGTATGACTCCCTGTGCCATATCTGCCAATGCAATTCTCTTCGTCGATGTCGAATGCTTCGGCTTCATTGCGATGATGCGACGAAACGAGAGGAAGGGAATCCAGCGCCAMTGGCGACGAATCGTCGCGGGTGTACAGCAATTTCCTCGTTACCATAACTCCCACATAGCAATGAGTGCCGAGTATAGTTATTCGTATTCTCTTAGACAGAGATATGGTATASAATACAAAGTCGTMCTCGTATTTGAATACTATGGTTCAAAATCGTTTTCCGTTTTCCAGAATTTTTGAAATTTGTTCGCACGTCGTTTTGGTCTCGGAATGCGTCGACCAGTACGAGTACGACGAAAGTCTGCAGATAGAATAGCAYTAGGCTATCGCAAGTATCGCAAGTAGATAAATCTAAGGGAGTTCGTGATGAATGATGGAACGAAAAATGAAGATGGATCTGAAAAACCGAAAAACCTTAACTCTAAATACGCTGCTACTTTCAGCTTCAGATGCAAGTTTTGAACCGCACTAYGGWACGTACGTACGTACACGTAGTCGTACGAGTATCATGATCAAAATAATGATCACTGAGTTTGAAATTCGACGGTCATTTTTTTCGCGCCAACACGAGAGGCTCTCATCACTCACAAAACATTCTTKTAAGACAGATTGGTTTCACACGGGCAGCAGCTCCTTCTCGTGCCCCTACCATTACCGTAGGATACAACAATCCACAACAAGCACCATTCACGATGAAAGAGACAGGAGAGTCATCTTCTTCGGACAACGTCGCTATTAACGATACCGATGCCGCAGCTGCAGCCGACGCTCCCGGCACAAGTAAAGACACCGTGGCTGGCTCTGCCGTCACCGACGGCGAGGAAGCGATCTCCAAAGAGGACCTCATCGAGCTGATCCGCGCCGTCAAGTTCAAGAACACCGACTTTTCCCAGCGGCAGGTATACAACGAAATCGTGACAGAAATCCCAGTTCGGTTCCCGCAATACGCCGCGTCACTCCACCCTGACCGTCTCTGTCTCAACGATGTCAAAAAGGCGTGGAAAAAAGCCATTCTTCAGCAACAGCAACCATCCTCGTTGAATTCTGGTGCAAACGCAAACACAAACGCCGATCTGGCCGAGCGATTAAGGAAGATGACTACGAACCCACAGCTATATACRATTGGCTTGGAAAACAGCAACAACGAACAAAACAACAACGCCGCGGCGGCCCGAGCCTACGTTACCAGCTTCCTCGAAGAAACGCACGCCAAGAATAGCTCCAGGGAGCGCGAACTCTTGGAGGACTACGTTCATGTTTTTTTGAACGTTCCCGCGGACAGTTCGATCGCCAAGAAACCCCACCAGGCACTCATCAATTTCCAGGCCCCACCTGGAAGCAACGTGGCCAAACCAGCCTCGAAAAAGGGCAACAAAAAAAAGAAGGGCGGCAAGAAAAAGGTTCCTGCCGCTGCCACGCCCCAACCATCGGCAGTCACTCTCGAAAACGCGCCCTTTGATGACGCCCTAGTCGTCAAGATCCAAATGGCGGCCCCCCTTGACGCCAGCGATTCCATGAAGCACCCCATGCTGCTGTACGACAAAACCCGGGCCTACAAAACCTTTGTCCATCCCGAGGGTGCCCTGACGGGGACGTCAAACACAGCAGTGGAAAATGCCAAAAACAAGCACAGCGAGAACGACGATGGCTACTCGAGGCTGGCTCGCTGGATTCGGACGAAGGGGATTGGGGGCGCCCTGGGCAGTGCGGGGGGCACCAAGGCCTATTTTTACGCGAGGCTTGCGACGACGGCGAAAGCGAAGCAACACAACCAAATACTGAGCATCTATGTGAAAACGCTGGCGCCGTCGGAAGGCCAGGACTTCTAGTGTCMCTCTGTGCAACTAGAGAAGACGCAATTCACCCCAAATGTCAAACAGTACTGATTTCCGTTTGGTTGCGATCCAAACCAAACCGAACCGTAGCATGGCTATCAGAAGGAGAGCATGAATCGAGATCAAAAATTTCAACTTAAGAGCAAATATAGGCGAGGCAGGATTATGGGATTCTGAATTTTCCGAAACAAATCAATTAGATAATATTCAAGATTCCAATTTATGTTCACTATCTAACTCAGACGAGTATCAAATCCTCTCGCATAATTGTTCTTTGCCTGATTCTTAGCTAACCCTGGCCGCCCGACAAGCAATGGATTAAACATCCTTCTTCTTTGCAGCTTCCTCCTTTGCTTCCATCATTGTGGCTTTGAGGCCGGCAATCTCCGCCATGAGGCCGGACATAGCGCTCTGGAGATGGTGATAATCAGTGTTGCTTGTGCTGCCGTATTCCATATGTGCCAGTGTTTGTTCTCCTTCGTCGCCATTTCCTTCGGATGGTAGTTCTTTCAAATCGGAACGGCCGCGGGACCTCTTCCTGAAATAACTCCAGAGGCTGATCACAATTCCAGTGGCCGCTATGACACCGGACAGAACGTAGGCTCCGAGCATGTTGTGTATCTCAAACGGTGTCGTCTTAGKRTTTATGTCCTTTTCTGGACAGATGTTTTCGGGTTCGGCATCTTCCATGATATCTCGCCACTTTCCCCTCTGCATCATTCTTGTCACCGCGGTATTCAGAGGGGCTGCGTAGTTGGTCGACACCGGTAAACCCCACGGCAGCTCAATGACCGGCTTTCCGACGATGATTTTGTCGCAGTGCGAGCCCATGCTGTAATGCGCTGCCATGACATGCTCGTCCGCCAGGAGGCAATCACAAAGTCCTTTATCCATGGCTAGGAGGAGTTCTGTCCGGTTGTTGAAACCAGGCAAGCCGTCTTCGGCTGTTCGTTTGTTGGTTCGTTTTTCATAATGAAAGGAGAGAAAGTAGTGTTATTCCATTGCGGTGGTCCGTGAGAAAAACAACGGAAAAACAAATGAGGGATCAAACTACATCAACAAAAAATGATTCCAATCCCTGTCCACTTCAAATCAAAACAAAACAGAGAGGAACAATAACAGAAACGTACGGTTAATTGCATAATTGAATCTGGAGTCTCCATAAGCATTGTCCAACACTTTGATTTTGTTCCGCAAAACGCAAATGGGGAACTTATATAGCATGACATCATCGATGCTCTCGATGGTCACCGAAAATCCTGAACGGACCAAAAGAGTAGTGAGCTGGGCGCCATAGGCCGCTCCCGACAGAAGAATCTGGATGCAAATCGCCAACGTCGTGAGCCGACCGCCCCAAGAAGTTACTTTGTCACTGCAATAGGGACCGGGTCTCCTGGCAAAAAACGCCATAACGGAACCGTACAAAGACATTTTAACATTCGCCGAGGGTTTCTCCCTCAATGTCTCCCATGAAACTTCTTGGAGCATGAGCAAAAATCCCAGAAAGGAAAACACTAAGAAGGTCATGCCCCACAATGCCGGAGAAAAGGGTTCGAAAATGGACTTAACCTTATCCATTACACTCAGTTGCTCAGTGTGTTCATGCACAACCAGGTATTCGGCGGTGACCCCCATCTCCAGAAACGAAGAAGCCATAGTCCGCTGGCGATTTTTCGTGAAGGCCCCGATGCAGATATCGACCACACCCAGAGAGGCGGCGTAAACGCACGCACCGTGGTCCATGTTTTCGAGGTTTTCAACAAACGGTCCGTATGATTCTGCCCTATCTTTTATCCATTCCGGGACGCTGGTGAAGTTAATCGTAATGTTCAACGTGGGTTCTTCGACTAGGTAACGTGCCAGATCCATAGTTGTTCCATGGCATGTCGTTTGTGTCGGATTATCTTTGTCTTCACACTCGGTTCCCTCGACCCCGCGGTGGTTATCATGGATGACCCCCTGCAGGACCATTCCGTTCAATAGAGTAGGGCCACGATCGGATTCGTCGATGAATCCGCACGCAGCGTAAGAGTAGGAGCGTTTCTTGAAGATGCGGCTGGGTTCGAAATCCAATTTGCAGCCATTGTCCACATAACACCATTCGTAGTCACACCATTCTCCAGGCTTTCCAGCGGCTCCGCACTCGGATAAGCCGGCGTCGTGGGCTTTGCATCCAATTCCGTACTCGTTTTGGAAGCTTTCGGTKGCGTTGCCATCGGCAATGCCATTCGCAAGCCCAACCTGAGTCACCAGGGATTCGATGTCTYCCTCCAAGTTTTCTTTCAAAACGAAGTCGCCAGCGTTCAGCTCGGACGCAGTCAGACAACGGCAGTCATCTCGAGATCTAGCTCCCTCGAGAAAGGGTAACGACGTTGAAACCAACAGAATAACCACAAACAACGTGGTACTTTTGAAACCTTGCATTGCCCTAGACGAACGATACTTCTGGACTTTGTTGGAATGGATTTTATGAATGGTACACTTTGTCGGGGTTTTGTGAACCGGCACGTACGATTGTTTTTAATAAGGTTACGTAT